TATATATATATATATATATATATATATATATATATTATCTATAGTATAAGATGTATCTGTGTAAGCTAAGAAGGGGATCTGCGCATGCACACGATCTCGTCCCAGGCCGTTTGTGGCGTGTATGCCTTACATTCATGTACGAGACTTGTTGGATGCTAGACGCGAGGAGAGAGACGTGCCTTTATAATAAACCTTCTATTAACGAATACGGTATGTTGAGTTATTGTGTCCCAATCCCATAGGGGCTGCTAATACAGTTCAAGTGTCTTAGAGGCAGTTGCTAAAGATTCCTCTTCCGAAATTCCCTGGTGATTTTGTCAGGTGGACTCTTCATAAGGAACTCTTTCTCTCCATGGTTGTCGGTAATAATGCGCTCTCTACTGTTGACAAGTTTCATGACCTGCTCACTTCTCTCATTGGCGAACCCAAGCAATTGGTATTGACTCCGCCTGTAGCTGAAGATTCATTTCTGCCAGCTTGGAACATGCTCACCGGTAGATATGACAATGAAAGTCTCCTCATATCTACTCAGCTTGCGAACTCGTTCAGCATCCCAAAGATTGTAACCGAATGTCCAAGGAACTCACTGCCCTTCTCAACTCCACTACTGAAGTGTTAAATGCCTTGAAGACGCTAGGACGGCCGGTACAACATCGGGATGATATCCTGGTGCATGTTGTTTCAAGTGGGCTGGATTCTAAGACGATGGAAGCGTGGGAAATAAAAATCGGGACTACCACGACCTTCCCTTTATATTAGGAGTTAAGGGAGTTTATTTTGAGCTCAGCTAGAGTGAAGGAGAGGATCGAGCTGCAGACTCGATCCTCAGTAACCACCAAAACCTAAGCCAGCGAAAGTGTTGAACGTCCCTGCTGATACTGTTGATCAGCCAGGTCAGATGACGAGCTCTCAATCATGGGCAGGCATGTGTGTCAATCCCTGCTCCATGTGTACAGATGACCACTTTATCGACAAATGTCAAAAGTTTAAATTGCTGACTCCTGAAGAGCGTTGAGGAGAACTCCAACGGAAGGAGCTTGTGCAGAAGAAGTACTTGTGCTTCAATTATCTGGGGAAGCATTCTCTTCGTACCTGTCGAACAACGAGGATGTGTGTTGTGTGTCGTAAGCGTCACCACTCGATGATACACATCAGTTGTCCTTCAGGTGCTCTGCAGACTGCGTCTCAAGCGTCTGTGGCTCAGCAATTGGTTCAGCCTCATGATAATCTAATACAGTCCGCTGTCTCTAGGACTGTTGGATCTCAACAGTGACTTTCTCAACCGACGTCAGCATCACCAGCGACGCCGACATTCTCGAAGCTTTCTCAACGGCCGTCGCTGGTAAGTAATTCTCCTTTTGTGGTAATGACAATTTACGACGTGTCCTCTCAGCTCAGACCAGGTGTTCTTCTGGCAACAGCAGTGGCTTCTCTCATTGGGGAGAATGGATCGACGTGTAAGGTTAGGACGCTGCTTGATCCTGGATCTGAGTTTTCAATCGTTGCGAATAGTCTTATGGTCAAGCTAGGTTTGTTGACATCTCCAGCCTTGCTACCTGTCTTTGGTATCGGTGGAGCAAAGTCTTACTGAAAGGGTTCTTCTCAGTTCTGCCTGAAGTCGCATTACTCAGGCAAACAAATGAATATCAAGACCTACACTCTTGGCCGTCTCTCCACCTCTTTGCGATCGTTCTCAGTTTCTCAAACGCAACCATGGGATCATCTCAAGGTACTGAAACTCGCTATTGATCTTCTCATTGGCGCAGATTTCCTTGGATCAATCGTGGAGTCGCAGATCAACAAGGGGACAGTCGATTCCCCGATAGCCATACACCACCCAACACTATCTTCGGTTGGGTGGTGCTCGGACCGACCTCGGCGGTGATTCCCATGATGGCCAGCTCTAATCACGTGTCGGTCCGTAGTGATTAACTTGAAGACCTTCTCACCAAGTGCTGGCTGCAAGAGGAAGTTCCAAAAGCCGAAGACAGTGTTTTCACTAAGAAGGAGGCAGAATGTGAGGAGTTTTTTCAGCGCACTCATTCGCCTTCGAAATGGCTTCTCGCTCATGTCACAACTCTACACCCTGAGAAGGACGGTCTCTCCACAGGTGTGGCAATGAGAATGGCATCGACAACATTGACTAGGCCGATCTCCAAGCTGGTTCCATTGCCAATCTCTACCAACTGAACTGTCGCTGATCTCTGTTGGCACCATTAATCTCTCTGCTTAGTGTTTCAGGTCCTAGATTGGTCTTTTCAAGAACCTGGTCACCAACAGAGTTGCTGATGCCGGGAGAATGTTGAGGCATCAGCACCAGGTCGCGGTGGGTTTGTCCTTAGCCTCCAGTAGCAGCACCTCCAGGACGCGAATCTGGTCTACCGGCCGCGCCCAATCTAATTTGTATAAGGGCCACCTTTTGCTGCACTTGCCTAATCTCGTCCTTCTCAAATCACACGGCGACAAGTGCACCTCATGTGTTTTCTCTGCGATTAATATCTTTAATTATTGCGACCATCTCAACTGTGAAAAGTCTCTATCATGTCTCGACTCAAATATTAGTTGACAGTGATTATTTTCTTGTCAATATTTTTTGACTGTTGGTATTTTTTTCAAGTTTAAATATACATTTTATCGTGACTCTACGCCCGCGCCCAGTGCTCATTATTTTTGATTGTGTCTTTCACCATCCCTTTCCCGAATCCCGGCTCTCCATCGGTTTTTCTAGTTGACTCTCGCCGAAACAGTAAGTAACACCAAAAATATACACCAATACAACACAAAGTTGAAGAACGAAATAAACGCGAGAACAATGGTCCTCAATCAATAAAACTAACCAGATACCGCCTGGAAATGACAGTCCCCAAAATCAAGACCATCAACCAAATATCCCTCACCACAGACAAAGTAACAGCCAATAAATTTACTAATCATTTCGAAGCGATTTGTTTATTTATTTAGAGAAAGCTGAAATTTGGTTGGATTGTAACTCTTACAATATGGTACTACAGGCTGCGATTTTTGCGGGCTGAAATCAGACCATTAGTTTCGGAGATAATCAACTTTTTGAGAAAATATGTTTTGCTCAGTATCTCGTCAACTACTGGTCGGATTGAATTTTTTTTTCCAAAATATTCGTCTCGATGTCCTCTATCGAGATCAATCAAAATGTGGATACCCGTTCATGCAAAGTGTTCGAGATATTCGCGTCTTTCTAATTTTTCCATCTGAGAGTTGATTTGGAGTTCTATTAGACAATACAAGCAGAAGTTGGAAAAGAATTCAAAATTTGGGCCTGATCAATTCAGAACATTTTGGCATCGAGCAATTCATCTGAAAATAATTTTTGTCAAAAAAAGAAATATCGTAATTCCATCGATGATTTTCGAATTTGTATGACTTAAGTAGTCATCTACCATAAAATTATGGTTTTTTTTGTTTCATATTATGGCAGTATTTGATACTGTGGTAAACACAAATGTGTAGAGGGTCAGTTATTACAAATGTGTTGAAGGTAGAATTTTGTAACGATGAACGATTTTTACAGTTCAGGACCTTCAAGTGTCAGATGTTCCGAGAGCGAATTTCCTTTTTCATAATCTCCAATTATGCTCGTGCTATCCATCATGCAGGTTTTCTCCTTCAGCAAGATGAAATATCCGGTTTTTCCAGTACTGGGTGATGTTCTGAGGTTGAGTGGTTTTCATGGTTCGGGAACTTCAAGGGCCAGATGTTATTAACCTCAATTTCCTCATTTATAATCTCTACTTTTTTTTTAGGAATTGGTACAGATTCATTCGGAAGCTTACAACCAACGGAATTGGTAGAAAGGAAAACAAGAAAAAGATCCATAGCACAAAGATAAAGGGTTAGATGGCTTATAGTAAAAAGCCTGCTTGTTTTTTCATTGTCATGGGTTAGTGAGGCTCATCGAAATGGAGAAACTGCTGCCGTCTGTGGGGAGAATTTTACTGATTGCTGATTGATTTCGCGGCACAACGGTGAGTGCTCGCGCAATTATAGTTGCTTCGCACCGGCGTTCATTTTGGACACTTGGATAAATTTTTGCTTGTGACGCGGTACACAGCAGGTTTCAGCTGCTTACTGAATTATTATTCCTATTATTTAATTATTCGTATTTTCACAGTTATGATTTTTGTATTGGAACCATTTGAGAATATAGTGTTTTTGTATTACTTATTGCCATGTTAATATTTTATTGTCATGGCTTTCGCGTTGTCGATGCTTTCGGGTTATCGTCACGTTCATTGCGTATTTCACGTCCGGTTATGATTTTTGTTTGATTATTAATTATTACTTTCGTCATTTTTTTTCTTTATTTTGCATTTGTCGCTGCAGTATTGTCGTCCATTCGACTTTCGATTATAATACAAAGGCTCATTATCTCTCATATAATTTATTAATTTGCCAATAGAGTTAACGAGCAGAAACTCTTAAAAAGAAAAGATTTCAGACTTCATTCACTAGAACAAAATTCCAGTGAAAAATGGAGTTAATGAATGTGTCAAATTAATACATTATCAAAATGATGGAAATTGTAGCTAGGTTAATTGCACTAGCAAACGATTTTGTGGAAAAAAGTCAGAATAATTACCGGATCGTATTTGCAGTTTTGTCATATAGTACATGTTGGCTGCTCTTTGGGGCGAAGCAGAAGGATTAGTTGACGTCGTCTCATTTTGTAATTGACACAATGTATCCTGTACCGGGGCTAACGGGTTCACGACAAATGAAAATGCCGCAGCTTGACATTCGGCGTCTTCTCTGCACCAACCTTGACACTCGTAGAGGGAAAGATTTCTCACGCTGTAATAGGTCGTTCCGCGATAGTCGTAATCGGTCAGTTTCTCGAATGCCACTCTAGCTGTGAACAAAAAAAGAATAATTAACTGCAAATCGCATACGTGAAAAATTGTAGACGTTAATTCCGTTGTGCCATTCTAAACTTAGAGTCAATAAATGAAATTCATGGGAGATTGAAAAATCAGTGTATAATAAAAATTTATTGTCAATTAGCTAACACAATTGAGAATTCCCATGATCATCATTCTTTTCGAAATCATAGCATTTGAGAGAATTTCATTGTTTCTTTTTAGTGATCATTACCAAGTGCAGCATTGCTTCCAACGATGAATGCGAGGAGTAGTAATCCTGTAACGAATTGTCCCATCGCGTGAGCACTCATCTGGAAAATATTTCAAAATACAAATTTGACCATGAATGGAATATAAAGTCAGAATGAGAGATGTTATTTCGACCGGTATATTCATATTCCGTATTATCTCTGGGCTATTTTACTCGGTCAAACTTTAGATGTTTATAAAGTACAAATTACATGGAAAACAGGATGCTATTATATATGCTATCTTTCGACTTTCTGAACCTCTATATGAGGGAAACTTGTGAATAATTAACAATGCACAAATTGAAAAATTCGGAAGCACACAGCCTCAAACTCAGGTCGGGTATGATCCCACCATCTCCAGTTTGCAGTTTGCATATGGGACGTTCCATGTCAACGCAACCACCCTGAATTTTTCGGGTTCTCAGAATCCTGAATTGACATGCTCGCAGCCAAGTACTAGATAAGTACATGCTTTCTCTAAATTTTCGTTTCTTTAACATAAATTGCTTGTATACAACCTATGTCAAAAGCTCAAATTTTTTAAAAGTCACATCTTGCGAACAAATTGACAGATTTTAATGAATAAAAAATGATTTCTTTCGTTTTTTCGTGACTATCTGAAAAAAATACACCAATACTGCGAGGGCAAGTAGTAACCCATTTTCAGAGGTTTGAATGTTTCAAATTCAACTATTACGCAGGAGTCAATCGAAAATCAATCAATTCTTTTTTTTCGATAGATAATAATAATTTCCAATGTTTTCGGGATATTTTGAAATGTAATATCGATAAAGAAATGAGAGAAAAAAATTTTCAATAAAAAATTCTTCTTTTCTGATATTAATGACTATAATTATGCAAATCACATATGAAACTCACCACTTACTCCTGTATCATATATTTTTACTCAATGCATAAGGTAACTCCATTGTCAAAATGAAATAAGTAGAATATAATAGTTTTCATACCACTTGAATTGATAAAGATCGATTTCGAAAAAAAAAACGGCTTAAAAATCTTCGTTTTTCATGTCAGATCGCTAGGTATAATATATATAAGTTAATGTTTTCGTCGACTCTTCTTCGGAAAAACTTCTCCACTAACTGCTGCTGAATATCTTTTAATTAATATTTGTCCATCTTCTCCAAGGATGAAGCAATGATTTTTTTGGATGGCTGGAATGGCCTTCGCACTGTTGAATCGTTGTTTTAAGCTGTCCTGCATAACTTTGTGTTCTTCTTTACTATAAAAAAATACATCAAGATTTTTGAAGTGAGCCTTCGCCCAGCGAAACAGACCACTAGGTGTGAGGATTGGTTCCCCTTGAATTACACGGCCCGACAAAATTTTGACCCTTTCTCTCCTAGAGATGAAATTACCCGCATTAGGAAGATTCAATCACGCTGATTCTAAATCCGGCAACAGAATTCCTCTAGGCCTTCTAGTTTCAGAGAAAAAAAATGTTAAAATTGCCAAAATCACCTAAAACCATTGAATTCTAAATTCAATAAAAAAATAACGCGTGCACCATTGGGACTGAAATAAAAATTTTAAAAATGGGAGAATCGAGATGTATGACTAGAGAGAGAGTTTTTTGTGATTAACACATGGGTTATTTCTCAATAAATTTAGTAATTAGGTGTTAAAAATTCAATTCAACCCTCAAAAAAGAATCATGGTTGGAAGGTCTGAAGTTGCACCACCACGATCATTCCACGGCCATTCCCAATGACCATTTTTGAAGTTTATGCACTCAGTTAATAAAATTGTGATTGAAACTTAAATGATTTGAATATGCAACCAATTTTACAAGCTGTGGTGGATCTGCAAGAGATGAGACATCTTGTTGTCATTGTTGAGGCTTAGCCTGAACTTTGGGAGAACGGTTTATCAATGTATGGAAATCACAATAAATTCACGTGGCGAGCAATTGGTGGGCAATTGCATCCCCCACGTCCAGGTATGGACTTTATCACTTCAAAATTGAACTATGTCAATGCATATGGAGAATATCGATCAATTTTATTCCCCAAAGGGTATTTAACCTGGTGCATTTTCGTCGAGTTGCGAGATAGCCAAACTGGATGCAAGGCGGATCAACCCTGATGCACCGTTTATTCTGGAGAATGAACTAATGTTTTTAAATGAAGATGATGACACCTGTTCCATTACCTCATCTTCTCCCCCTTCTCCCCCACCAAGTCCCCCTCTGGAACATCCTGAAATCCTGAACGAAGTCATAGTGATTGAGCCCGAACAAGACGAATTGCCCTAACTTCTCAAAAATTTTTCAATGGTTCTTCAACAATTCTATTCATAAATGTTAAGAGTTTTTATTCTCAAAATCCTCTACAATGAATTTGAAGTAATTGGACATAACATGAAATATTTAAATAAAATCTATCAACAATAATGAGAGTGATGTTTACATATTACCAGATTGCAGTTGAATTATTTACATATTAACAGATTCCAGTCAGATTATCCCAGGAAAATTGATAAAAATCATGAAAATGGAGGAAAATATATCCTTGAATTTTCATCGACTAGAAAATTCAACGTATTTTGCCATTAAATCCTCATATTTTCATTGAAAATTCAAGTAAGATGAGGAATTGTCGTCTACCTCGTGCTTATAAATCTGGAATTCTACTAAATTTTCAGTGAAGTTTGAAATTTCATGACTTTTACGCCTCTAAATCGCATTCTACGTCACTCGCCACAAAAATTGTAAGTAGTCGACTGTCCATGAAATTCCAGTTTTTCCCTCAGAGTGTAGTTGAATAAGATCGTCGATCTAAATATGTGTCTCTAATGTGTTCTTCCTCTTGATGATTTCGGCATTTTGAAAAGAAACTCGAGACGCCTTCCTCTTGTGCGAAACATGCTCTTCAGTGACATCGAACACTCCCCAGCAGTCCGCCAGCATGTTCATTTGAGATTTTCCGTGGTACCGCCGTTCTAGGTTTGAGATGTCCTGATGAAATCTCTTTCCATGTTCATCACTAATATCTACCAAGCTCTCGGGGAAAGAATCCAAGTGGGAAAAGAGGAAGTGAATCTTCAGGGACATATTACATCCGATAGCCTCAAGATTCTTCAGCATTTTAGCTACGCTATCTCGATAATCCGGAGAACGGGAGCTTCCAAGGAAATTTTTGCAGACATCTTTGATAGATTCCCATGCAGCTCGCTCTGTGTTATTCAAAACTTCCTCAAATTGTTCATCATTCTCCATCAATTTTCTTATTTGAGGGTCGACGAAAATTCCGGCTTTGATTTTGGCTTCGCTCAACTTTGAGAAAAATGACTTCAAGTAACTGAAAGCCTGACCATCCTTATCCAGAGCTTTCACGAAGTTCGAAATCAGTCCTAGTTTGATGTGAAGCGGGGGTAAACAAATTTTGTCGGACTCAGCGAGTGGTTCTCTGATGAGATTCCGTTTTCCAATCGTGAAATCATCACGAGGGGGCCAATCACGCTTACTCCAATGATTTAATTTGTCTCGGCTATCCCAAAGAAACAAGAAGCAACAATTCTTGGTCCAACCCAGCTGCAGTCCTAAGATGAGATCCACCATTTTCAAGTCGGCTGAGATGCGCCAGTTATAATATCGATATCCAAGTTTTTTCAACAGAAACTCGACATTGGCGTGACTTTCTTTTAAGGTGGTAGAATAGCCGATGGGTAGGGATCGATAATTGTTACTAATGTGCAGCAAGACTGCCTTCAAACTAGCTTTTGATGAATCGATAAACAATTGCCATTCGTCCGGATCATGTTCTATGCCCATGCTCTTCATCAGTCCATCAATATCGATGCAGTAACTAAGCTCCGGCTCTTCTTTAAAAAATTCGTGCAAGTGTGACTCACGGACACGATATTTCGTGATGCGAACCCCGGCTTCCAAGAGATACATCTCTTTCAAGCGCGAGGATAGCAATTCCGAATTTTCCGTGCTTAGCTTCATGTCTTTAATCAAATCATCCAAACGGTTTTGGTTGAAGAAAGTTGGTCNCGGCTTCCAAGAGATACATCTTCAGTATATACATCTCTTTCAAGCGCGAGGATAGCAATTCCGAATTTTCCTTGCTTAGCTTTATATCTTTAATCAAATCATCCAAACGGTTTTGGTTGAAGAAAGTTGGTTCTTTTCGACTCTCCGCTTTTAACGTGGGCTCGTAGGTAACATCATCGTTATCTTCGATGGACTTCCTCGATTCTTCCTCTGTCTGCCTTTCTGAAGGAGAGTCAGCCAAAGTTTGCGGAATGCTGCGATCGACTACTGGCAAATCCACTGAAGGTACCTTTGTGTACGTCATTTTATTCTTGTCTTTTCTTANACAGTCACTAGTGTAATCTCTCGGCTCTCTCCAAACTGCAGGGGTGGTAAATGGCGATTTTTTACCCTCGTTAATGAATGCTGAGAGTTGTCGGCAGCAGGATGAGCAACATTGATGGGGAGTCCATGATTTCTTCAAGTTGATCATCGGGCACTTGAAGCCTCTTTCGTATCCATCTTTAACTAAGTCTGTGATGTTTCTCCATTGCGGTTTGGGCATGTATTTGGCACAGACGTAGCAGAAGAAATCAGGAGAAATTTTACAATTACGTGGCATGTCTGTAACTTTGAGTGACACATTGAATTGAATGACTGCTGTCAATGTGCAACTCAAGCTCTCATTTGTTAAACAAAATATAGAATACGAATTGGAGTAAAGCCTGGAAATGTGCATCTTGGATTGACTTATTATACTTTAGTTTCATAAATAAAATGAGATGAAAAAAAATAGGTGGCCAAGAATTGATAGGAAGATCATAAAACGGAGTGGAGAAAATAATTCTGACAGTAGTTGATAAAAATTGATTCAATATTTCACGTTATATCGAGTTTTTACAAATTCATTGTGGAAGATTTTAAGAATATAAACTCTGGATATTCATGAAGAGAATCGTTGAAGAATCATTGAAGAATTTTCAGAAGTTAGGGTAATTTGTCTTGTTTGGGCTCAATCACGAGGACTTCGTTCAAGATTTCAGAATGATCCAGAGGGATACTT